ACGTCCAGAATTGCACGAAATAACGTGATCTAACCAAATTTTTTTTTTTGCTCCATTACTTATGATCGCCACTGTAATACTACGCTAAAACAAAAAGGGTTTTTGATCATTTTCAATAGTGGACACTGTAATACTACGCTAAAACAAAAAGGGTTTTTGATCATTTTCAATAGTGGAGTCCTACAAAACTAATAATATCTCCTATGTACTTTTTTTTTTTTTGTAGTTTTAATTTTTTGAAAAAGTACTTTAAACTGTAAAATTAAATTGACTTAAACAACCAATCATATGAAAGTCGTCCTATGATGTGGCAGCTAGGTTCAATGTGGTCCGAATCCGAATAATTATCCCTAAAATTATCGTTATATCATTATAAAAAAGACTTGAGATACAGTACATATACGTGCATAATTTTTTTTGATTCCATAACCCGTCCGGGTAAACCCTAAAATAGAATTATTACGTAAGAATCAGATTTACAGGGGCAACGACCGGGACCTATTCGGCTTGATCCGGATTAGATCCTTATTGTCGGATACTTCGTTACGCATAAGCATACAGAGATCAAAAAGATTTTAGTACGTAACGTATGTACTAACATTAATTTAAACATTTTCTTTCTATATTCGTTTTTATTACATTCTTTTTATCCCATGGCTTCGTCGTCACTTGTTGTCCCTTTAGTTTTATGGAACCGATTACCTTCTTCTCCAGTTACAACAGTTGTCTATAAAGAAGGTCATGTTGCGACGGGTCTTAAGGATGGATTTATATGGATATATCGTTGCATAGTTGACGAACAAGGCGCACTTCAGGTGAAAACTATTTACCATAGTTATCCAACTTTAAAAGAACATGCGATAATAGCATTTTTCAATAGTAGTGATCTAAACCTCGGATAAACCAAATTCATGTAATTCTTTATTTAATTTATTCATTTTTCTTTAGTTACAACATAAAGTTCTTTGCATTGGCCATAAATCAGCCATTACTGCCCTAACCATTACAGAAGGACCGACTGATGGCTGTGTTGGGAATAATTATGTATTAATTAGTGCTTCGGAAGATGGGTACTGGATAATTTTAGCTTTTTATCGATCTCAGAAATGATTGATTTATTGATTTTTTACGACTTATGAATCATATGAATTGTAATATTTCTATTAGAGAAGTTATGAAATGGTGTTTATTAGATGGGAGATGTCTCGCAGGCACGCCCAAAGCTTTGGATGGCATGATAAGGAGTATCAAGCCTTTAGCTACATGTGCTGAGGTAGATATATATATATATATATATATGAGTGCCGCTAAGGAAAACCTATCATCGGATTTTCAATATATTTGTATCGAACACAATCAGTCTACTTGGTTAGAGATTGTGTTGATACAAAATATAATTAAAAGTTCGATAACAGGTTTTACCTTGGCGGCACTCATATGATTGCCTTTTACTTGTACTTGATCGAATAGTTACCTAAGCTTTCTTCATATCATTGTTTGTATAGATACCTAAATTTCTCCTTTGTTCTGGGTTCTCAGATGAGATTACTATATTAAACTGTGCATCTTTGGAGGTAATATATCCTCAGAATTTGAAATTTATTGTATCCTTGAAAAAATTAACTTGACGAATGTATGTTAATTTTAGATTGTACGGATTTGGGCTGGTCATAGCGATTGGGTTGCTTGTACTCCATTTTATGATTCCGGTAAATACAAGATAATAAACTGGCTTTATACATTTTAAGGTACCAATTAATTAATTCACAACTCTTTTTGCGCACAATTTTGGCAGACGCACGCCAAATAAGACTTTTATCATCGAATTTTAATGGATTTCTGAAAATCTGGGCATTTGATGAAAACAAACAATCAATTATAAAAGAATATGATAATGTTGGAATACTTCAGGCTCAAGGGGACAAAATTTTAGAATTAATCAATAATCCATATGATATCGGCGTAATCATGGCAATAACGAATAATTTCATTATTGTAAGTAACTATGATGTCAACAAATCTTTTTTTGGTGTGTAATCGGATTAATCATTTTTCTTATTATGTTTAGATATTCACGATACGTCGTGGTAAAATGTACAATATGCAAAGTATAAGAACTCTTAAAAATGGTGCCTTTTGGGCTAGTGGCGTCTTCTTGGCAAAAAACACGATACTAGTTTACACTCAGGTACAATTAATGGTTTTACTTTCTTTCACTGTTATTTAAGTAATAAATTGAATCAACATTAACATTTTACAGGCTGGCGACGCGCATTTATACTCCATATCGTGCACAGCACGAAAATATCCTTCCGAGAATGGCCATATAATGACCTCAGGCTTTGTTCCACGGCGTTCATCATTACCTGATTTGAAAAGGCCTAATAAAGAGAAACTTTCATTACCTGGTCATTCAAAGTACGAAAAATATTTTATTATCCTATAATATTGTCTAGATGAAATTCTGTAATCACTCACATTTGCATCATATTAATGTTATAGACCTAAATTACTAGAATCGGTTTATTCAGGAAATAGCGGTATTTTATCATATCATAATTGACGGTTATTGTTGTATATTAATGGTTCGTATAATGAATAAATCTTTTGATTATATAGACTTCATGAGTCCTGCCAAGACTACTGTGTTTGTGACTCCTAATGCTGAGGGAAAATCATCTAGATGGTATTTGATTGCTTTCCGCAATCAGGTCGAGGGGACGTCATTTGCATGGAAGTTGCTGTCGACAACTGCACAAGAATATCAAATGTGTGATAGACATGTCCAAGAATCTATTTGGGATTCTGGTAAGTTTACGAAAAAATTTTATTTAACTTTCTTATTATCATTATTTAACTTTCATATTATCATTATTTAATTTCATTATTAATAATTTGTAGGAATTTGTTTGTCTGATTTATGGCCGTTGCGAGACCATCAAGTTCCTAAAGTTACCGTTGCAACTATGGTAAATGATGATCAGATAGCATTTGGATATGGTGTGTATACTACGAAAGATATTTATAATAAAAGATATTTATATAGAAGATTTATTTAAGTAACGCTTTTTTTACAGCAAATGGTGAAATTCATATCTTGCCGATCTCTTCGGCATTGACAATGGACTTTAAAGAATTTTCATTAAATGCAGTAAAAACATTGAAAGGACATTTTGGAAAAATTACATGTATGTACACACCGAATATTACTAATTTTGATCACAAATATCTTGTGTCTGGTGGAGAAGATTGTTCAGTAAGGATATGGAGCTTGGAGTAAGTCATTGGTGCAATAATGCATTAAGAAATATAATCCATGCTTCTACTCATTTATTGTACTGTTAATCATTGAAAGAATTTGGTTGTTGACATGCACTCCATTAGAAATGGAAAGCGACTAGCATCATTTACATATCATTCATCGCCCGTGACTCATTTATTTGAGCCGCCCGTCGAAACGTGTACGAGAATTAAAGGATGTATAATTTCCGTTGCAAAAGATAATTCTTTGGCCATAATTTCTTTGGATGAGATGAGCTGGTATGTATTCATTTCATTTTATACTTATTGTTCAAAGTTTAACTTGATACTTCATATTATCAATGCAACAAAATAGTTTGTATAGTTTTAGCGGTTACCCATATCACATGTGCAGAATTCAGTGGAGAATATCTGAAGGCCTCATAGTACTATATTACGGTGATGAATCTGCACATATATGGCAGGTGAGCCATCATCTCTTCTGAATCAATTATTCCAATAATTAAATAATTAAATTTATGCTGACTGGAATATTTATTAGATGAAGACTTCGGAGCTATATCAGATTGTTAAAGGTTCGACTGCAAGAGAAATGATTAATGACAAGACATGGCAAACTAGGTTGGTTTTTACTGTATTGTTATATATTTAGGTCTTATCATTATTATTCTCTAAATTTAATTTCATTGCAATTAATTTAGCACTGTGTCACCTCATGACTTCACGGCATTTACCCATAATAAAGTTAAAACTTTGTCATCGGTCAATTTACAAAATAATGGTAGTTAATACATACTAATTCATAATTAATTCAATAAATGATCCCCTACTGCATAAAATAATAATAATGTTTTTTTGTAGGAATTTTTCATTTTCAAATTTTTATGATAAATGTCAAACAATTAATCAACGATATTTATCATTATCACGTCTCTCAAATTGGTTCAAAAGTTGATTCTCCAGTTGTAAATGCTGAAGATTTTGATGAAAAACATTCTAAAATTTTTTCTTGGTCAACTAATGGTGCTTCTCATCAATGTAACACATCATCATTGCCTTCTGTTTCGGAGTTAGAGGATCAGGCTATTGGAGCGAGTAGTGTTCAAGTTATAGTCTCCGCTTTAATGACATGGGGTATTGACAACTCTTTAGACCGAATATGTTTAGAGAAATTAGGCTTGAAAAAACCATCAAAACATGTAGCCTTTGGCTTGAGAGGGTAAGTATTTTGATAGCTTCTTATGATTTATTATATGACTTGTTAACGGTCATTAACATCATTAATAGGTATAACGGCAATTTATCGATTGCGGCTCCTTCTTATGACCATCATGCGGCCTGGAAAATATCTCAAACAATGACAGCAACACATCTATTGTCAATTGTTAGTTTGACACGACCATTCCTTTTAATGAAAGGTATTTAAAAAAAATTATGGTTATTATCATTCACTTAAATATTAACCTAACTTATTAATGTTCTTTTATAGGGCTGGAGAAATATACTAGTGATATTATCACTCATTATGGCACCATGTTACCTGAATTTGTAGGTACAAAATTTCACCATTCCTCCTTAGCTTTCCTCGCGAAATATTTTCAAGAGCCAACCGGTATGCATATGCATGTTTTATTACCAAATGAAATCCCAAATGTAAGCAGTGAAATCAATATTTCCTGCTTAATTTGGCAGTACTCAATTATTATTAACTATCCGATACCTCGAAATTTTTAGTCTAATCTTTTTTTTTTTTTTTTTTTAGAGGATATACGGCATTCGGCAAAGACTCTTTTTTCCGCGGCATTAACTAGTATGCCACCTATTGAGCTACAGTCTATAATTGATTATTGGAAACAATTTTGTGAGTGGATTGTTTGTCCAACATGTAATTTAATTAATTATGTGAGCATAATATCTATAAATCACTGATTTCATTGTTCCAAACCAATTTAATTTAAGTACCAGCAGTAACGTCGCAAGATATGTGTGCTAAACTGTATATGGCTAAATCAACAATATTATTGGGAATGATAGGGGCAGATCACCCTAAATTTTTATCAAAAACGTGAGTAAATTAGTATATATAAAATTTTACTTCAAAATTTTTTTAATAATGGTTTTATTTAATGGATATAACATACAGAGTCTCCGAGAATACTGCATTATCACTTATATTACTACTACATGATGAATCTAAATTGGCCCACCGATTAGCGGCGCTTGAACTGTGTGGTAAAGGATTTTCAACATGGGAGCCTTATATCCTTGCTTATTTAAACTTTTTTTTTT